CCCATAAATACGTTGGCAAAGACCATTCGTTAATCGGAATTATAACAAAGAAGTTACGAGCAATGAAAGTTGGAGATAAATGTTAATATAAGAATTTATCTAAAGGAAAAATTATGATTATTATTCTTGAAAGAGGGACCAATCAGATTGGGGGAAGAAGCCCCATTTAATGGGAGAAGAGCTGCCCAATCGGAGGGGGAGGAGCTGGACAAGGAGGAAAGGAGAGAACAGCTGATCAGGAACCCCGTTGACCCGTTTCAAGACCCGTGACCCAGTTCCCTGACCCGAATTTCTACACACTTCCATCGCCATTTCCGTCAATTTTTTCGGCGATTCGAAGGAACCGCTAACAGGAAAACGACCCAGCGTCATTCCCTCTTCATTTCTATCCAATTTTGACGGGATTTGATCCATGTTTCGTGAAGAACAACCCCGACGGCGTCGTGGGTTCCTTAACGGATCGCCGCCATTTCTACCAGTATTTCCGTCGACCACCACCATTGTTCAACTCCCATTGAGGCCAGGAACAAGACCTAGACAAGTTTGGAGGCGGCGGAGCAGTGGAGACAAATCGAAGTGCACTTATTTTAGGGTTTCCGAGGATCGTGGCGATTTCAGGTATCTTCCTCGCTAAATTTGACCTCAGCCCAAGTATAAAACTTATTCCCTTCTTCATGGTCCTTACTTTGGTATAATTTAAGAATTTTTAGATTTAAGTGAATTTTCCAGCAAATCGAGACAATCGGTAGCCGCACGTGGCCCGAGGAACCAATTGATCCTTCTAGGCTACATTTGATACCCCGATTCCATATTTGACACCCGATTAGTGAAATTCTATCATTTGAACCTAGTTTCATTAAGATACACCACTTGACCATTGTAACAAGTGATGATCCGACCGTTGAATCGTCACCAATCCTTAGGATGTCGTTGTACGTAATATTTAAAAACTTTAGGATCTTGCGGATCGGAAATCCGTCTTCCTAATTGAATTACTAGGGTTGACTTCGATCAAAATGTTAGTAACCATTCTTAGGTTCTAAAATTGGTACTACTAGAGACTAAGTAGAGTATAGTGGACCTATATTGGTTAGTGGGCTATCCTAGTTAATATATTCCTCGATTTACGTGTATGGGATGCATTATTGTGATATATATATATATATATGTGTATTTAACTTCTTGTTAAAAAAAAAAAAAAAAGAGATATATGATTGCTAGTTTGAAAATATGAGATGAAACCTTGTTGGAAATATTTCATAGAATTCATATGTCTGGGTGACTAGATATTGGGTAGTTAAGAGGAATCGGTATTATGTATATTTGAAATTATGATTCATAATGAACTGACGTAGTTTATAGTATATGATTCAATATTCGTTTGTTTGTGGAATCGATAGTGTGTATGCTAGTAATTATAATTTATTTATGTTGATGTATTTTATGTTGATGTATGTTGTGTGAAGATGTGACTGCACCATGTAGCAGTGGTATATGAATGGTTCTGCATGTTTAATCCACATTAGGGAACCATACTATTTATGGATTGCACCTGGTTAATCCATTGGGCAACCCTCGGATCGCGCCTAGTTAATCCACATTGGGCGATCCTCGTTACCTAGGTATGGCCATACGTAGTTTAGGGGTGATCACACCTAGTTAATCCGCATTAAGGGATCATTACCTATCAGCATGTGTAGGAGTGACTCCGCCTGGTTAATCCGCATTGGGGTGTCACTACCTACTTGGTAACTTATTGTAGGCTTCGGCCGAACTCTGTCACTCTAGCCCTAGTTTTTAGTGTATTTGTGAACAATGGTTTTGAGAATCTTGTGAATTGAATTAGAAAAGCTGTCATACGTTTGGGTGACTCCTTCCCCTTCAGGATTTCTAGCGATTCGATTATGATTTCATAAAGTATGAAATTATAAGGTATGGATATGATTGTTATTATTATGGTCAGATTAGTTAATTAATGTGGCTAGAGAATGGTATTGTGCTTCGTCAGTTCTTTGATATGTTACATGATGTGAATTGCAGTGTTGTGTTGAAAACCTAATTGTTTATATGGTTGATGAAATGAAGATCTTGGTTGTCATGTGGATCATCGATAGAGCCCTGAATCTAGTAATACATGCTTGTCGTGTTCCAAAAATTGTTTGAGGAATGCTATGCCTTTCTGCCAAACGTTATGTGATAAACGTTAGAGTGTAGTGAGTAGTGAACTACAAATGGCTTGATCCCATCAGAGATTACGTAGGCAATCTAACAAAGAGGTTAGATGCAACCATAGAGTAAACGAAAAAATTACTACGCAATTCGAATGTTGAGTTGTGCTTTGTCCATATCCCGAAAGCGGGATATGTTAGATATACAGGTACTTGGTGACGTCATGTATCGATCCTAGACGTACATCAGGATTGGGCATGACACATTGATCTAATCTAATTAGTGCAGTGCATATTTTACTAAGATTTCATAAGCACCAAGGGAAAATCATATTCAAAAATGAAATATGCCAGACCATATTAACCAAGAGTTTTAGTCTTCAAAACATCAAATGACAATAAAAAACGGTTGAGAATTAACTAAATTAAGAATTGAAAAAGATTAATTTAAATAGCGTTACTACGTACAAGGCAATAAATACAATACATTGATATGATCTGAGTTGCGCAATGCATATTTTACTAAGGTTTAATGTGCTTCAAGAGAAAACCATATTAAAAAAGACAATATGTCAGGCCATGTTAATCAAGAGCTTTGGTCTTCTAAGCATCAAAAGACAATAAAGAACGGTTGGGCTTTAACTAGATAAAGAGTTTGAGTAGAAATTCCCTTGTCCCTCGTTGCTAAACTTGAAAATTTCTCACACTTCAAAACATGGCTCTATTCTCGGGCTCTAATATTAATCTATATTAATCCAAAAGATGAGCTTCGTGCTCGGGCTCTAATATTAATCCAATAATTAATTTATTAATTTCTTATTTAATTTTTAATTTTTTGGTTATTATGAAGAAACAAAACAAAAACCTAAAAAAAAAAAAAAAAAAAAAAAAAGAAGAAGAAAACAACGCACCCCTTTGTGAGCAAATGCCTCTCAAAAGATGCATCCCAAATTCATACCTGCTGCGAACAGATATATGTATATTTATATATATATATATATATATATATATATGATCATCTGCCTTTTATTTAGACAGAAAAAAAATCATTCTTCTGACAAGTCTTAGCAAAACTTATCATACAGAGAGAACCACAAAGATATTCGCCAAAAATTAAGTTTTCCGATGTTTGGATCTTGATTTAAATTGTTGAATCCTAGGTGAAGCAGACGTCCTTCGAACTATAAGGATTGATTAAGGGCGAAATTTTGTTTTAAGAACATTGCAGTACGTAAGCCTTGATTTTATTTTGTTTGTTTAATTTCAGTTTTGTTTCATTCGAGTTGTATCGATACATATAGTTGCAATTTATTTAGCATATAGAATTATCTATATATCGAGTTATTTCTGAAATATATATATATATATATATATATATATTTGTGGTTGGTCTTTTATTCTTGTCCAACAAAGAATTCAAGAAGATTAGTTCAATTTGCGTTACTACGTAGTACAATAATGTATACGATACGTTGATTTGATCTGTGCAGTGCAGGGAAAACCATATTAAAAAAGGAAATATGCCAAGCCATATTAACCAAGAACTTTGGTTTTCTAAACATCAAAAGACAATAAAGAAGGGTTGATATTTAACCAAATCAAGAATTCATGACAATTAATTCAAATATGTACAAGGTAATGTATACGATACATTATCTGATATGAGTTGTGCAGTGCATATTTTACTCAGGTTTCATGAGCTTTCAAGGGAAAACCATATTCAAAAAGAAAAATATGCCACGTCGTATTAACCAAGAGCTTTGCTCTCCAAAAGCATCAAAAGGCAATAAAGAATGAGATTTAGTTAAGAATAACGCTAGGCACATTAAATTTGTGAACCAAATAATGTGGTACCAATCGAATTTGTACTTTAATACAAGTTGGAATTTGATTAATAATGGTAATGAAAATTTGGCCAATTTTTTTCATAGTTCCTGTGATGACACCAGACTTGCAATGTCATCGTTGTGGTGAAAAATTTTTTATTTAAACTCTTGTGGTGAGCCCTATCTGCAATTGGGGTCCAAATCTAAACTTCAGTTAGTTTTTCGTTAAATGAACTCACGTGAGCCTCACATGAAGAGGGTTAAAGTCGTAATTTCATACCAAATTAACCTAGAGCATCTGTAGCAAAGATATAGTATGACTTGGGGCTCAACCGCAATTGGATTTAACCCTCTCATTTCACAGGATCCGATTGTCTCTTCTTACTGCTCCCTTGTTTTATATTTCCAAACGATTGTATATGCAACATAATTCAGCAAACCAAAAGAAGAATAAAAACATACTGAGATTAATCAATGGAATAGAGAAACTTGTTTGTGAACGTTCATAGAGAAGCTTGAAATTTCACGCGCATGACTCGTATCTCTATTTCCTCTCTCACTATAACACGATCGAACATCATCCAATACAACCCCACTCACACACGCACCATATGTTTTAACCCCACACACATGAGGCTCACATGTTTTCTTTATTTTTTTTAACAGAAAACTAATGGAAGTTTGAACGTGGACTGCAAATTACTAACGGGGCTCACCACAAGTCTTTAATTGACAGCTTTTTAACAACGATCATACGTAAAAGTGCAATGTCACCACAGAGACCATGAAAAAAATTTGGCCTGAAAATTTATGTAATCTAGAATGTGCTACATCATTTAGTGCATATAGAACCACCATTTAGTTAAATCTCAACCGCTCAATCATGAAAAATGATGTGCGGGAGAGAATCATGGTACACATGTGAAAAAGGAAACAGATTTGAGCATGGTCCATGTAAAAAATTACCAGACAGAAATGGTAAAACTTGGAAACGAAAGGGGGAAAGAGAAAACACTAGAGAATGAAATTCCATATATACAACGAAGAGTTGGTATTATGAAAGCAGGGATACCATATTATTATTATACAGCTACAGAGAAAAAAAATCAAAAACCAACTCAAACAGCATACAGAGCTAAACTTAGTACCTTTGAGTACAAGGTATACTAAAAGATTTTTTTTTTTTTTCTAGCTTCGCGAATTTCCGACCTTCTCAATTCTGGGGAGTGAGGGAAGGAAACGAAGGGATGGACTGCAAAATTAGTTTCCTACCGGCCCTTCGACCAGGTGATGGCGCGAATTCTCTGTTAGGAGGACACACCCTCTTACCATTCGGAGAAGCAGTCTTGATGCCAGTGCTGGGTGACCCATCTCCTTGAAGAATCTCTGGCATTTCATCCTCTGGAACTGTTTGGATGTGTCTCTCAAACTTGGTTTCAGGGCGCAGAATCCCAAGTTTCTGGCTTGTATACAATCCAGAAGAGGATCCAATGCTAAAAACAGAAGATCGCGGGGGTTTGTTCTTTGATGAAAACGGCAGCGAGACCAATTGTCTGGAACACAAATTAATTGTTAATGATCTAATGGCAATGACACAAGCAACTTCTCATTTGCAAATAATTTAAGAACTAAACCTGGAAAGCCGTAACGGCGTTGTGGGAAGAGCAGAATCCTGGCGCTGCTCTTCATTTTCCTGAATTTCATTTTTCTGTTGATAATTTTCAGCCGCACTCTTTCCGCATGCTTCTGCTTCTTCTTCATCTGCCTCAGTTTCTGTTCCCATAAAAGACCCTGAATTCCAAAAGAATAAGGAACAAATATAAAGACAATTGGCAAGCACGCTTGAAGGACATCAGATTCAGACGGGAATACAGATAATAAGAAATCCACAAGAAGTAATCATGCAAAGCGTAACACGTCACTCACCATCCTTTCTACCAAATGTATTTTTACAGCCTTCACATCTGCAGCTAATGGAGCATCCAACACCGCCCTGTAAAGGAAAACCAAGTGTGAATAACATTTAAATAGGATATTACAAGCAAACAAGATATGCTGAGGGGTGAACCTGATAGCATTCACAGTATTTTTTCAGGCAACTTGATTTCTTGCAGTTGCATCCTCTTTTATGTCGTGCAGAAGCTGGGGTCTTGCTGGACTCCTCCTGCAAGTGAAAACAGATTTTACCGGTTAAATTTCTGTTCAACTTGCAAACAGAGCAGAGAACAGTTAACTCATTTTCTAACCCCATATTCAGGAACAGGATCAGCGTTCCTAATCACTTTTGGAGCAAAAGCAAGTGGGTTGCGAGACTCAATCTGTTTACGAGTTGCAAGAACAGTATCTTCATGAATAGGCTTGTTGAAGCATTCTTGACATGAACATGGCTCTATGCAGTAGACACCAGCAGCAAAGCATTCACAGTAACTGCACAATAAGTATCAGAAGTTGAATAATAGACTTAACGACCAGTGCAAGAAGTAAAAAGAATCAAAGAATATCAACAGTTTATCCGCCTCAGGAGATTATGCAGGAGGTAACTCTTCTGCATGTAGACTTTTTAATAACTACCAGGTTTACAGCTTTTTCATAGCAAAGGATAATGTTGATTGAGATAATTGGATGCAACTCTAAAGTGAGGGAAATGAAATTCCTAAGCCAATATATATCTGACTGATGATAGATTCAAACATGCAACAAAAGCTATGTCTGAATGCAAGCAACGTGACAAAAGTTTTAGGCTTCACTAAAAGGGAGATGAATAACCTACAGTTTCAGACACTTTGACTTTTTACAGTTGCAACGTTTGCAAGAAGACTCGGCTTCTCCAGCTTGTTCGAACTTGGGCCTGCACATCCAATGAGAATTATAAGATGTCAGATAAAAGTACAAAAATCTAACCAATCACACAAAAATGAAAATGAAGATGACATAATAATTTAATGAAGAATATCTGGTCAACAGAACATGCCTCTTCTTTTTCGGGCTATTCTGGTTAAACTCTTCATTAGCTAAAAATGCAGGTTCTTGGGAAGCATCTTGCAGCAGCTGAACCCCATTTTCGGCGCCATCCATGTCCCTTTCAGAAGAAGCCGAAGAGAAAGATTCATGACCAGGTCCTTGACCGGCTGTGGGGGAATTAGCAGGGGCAGTGAGGTTGGGCAAACTTAGTTGTCTACCATAGGCCAAGATTTCACGCTTAATGGTTTTGTAATCTTTTGAGGTTGTTGCAAGAGCATTTAAGTGCAAACCAATTCCAGGTACGATGCACCGTGCAGATTCACCACCAGGTTTCATCGGAACAAGTTGCTTATCATTTGTGGTGATTTTTTCATCAGATTGAGATAACATAGAAGAACTAGAACTTGGAACATTGTCTAAACTCTTCCTACGCGCTCCCACCATCTCAAAATCTAGACAGCGCCTTCGCAAACCACGATGCAAATTTAAACCAGGCTAATGCACAAACAGAGAAAATGACATTAGCACAACCATCAACAAGCAAAACAAACAAGGCAATGACAACAATTCATAACAAAGTCAAGAATCTTTGGAATCGGCATTATTAGGACTATCGTGATGGCATAGTGAATACTTTACCTTACAATTGAACTGCATGGGTGCTTCCACTTTATTATTTTCTTTCTCGATTTGACTGCTAACCATACAATTATTCAAATGGTCCTGCATCAGTTCTGTGTCTTCCGGCTGACTAGCTTCTCCATATTGAGATGAAGGATCTTCAGTTTCAGGCTGTTCTCTGGAAACAACTGTATCAAGGACTAGCACGTTTTGCTCATCATTAATTTCATTCTGTGAGAGTCGCGGCATTAGAGAATTACAAAATCTTGTTACGGAGTCCAGAGGATTCTGCATTATCCCCCTAAAAGCCTCTGAGCCATTGGGGGAATTGAAAATTAATAGGTCGCTAGCATCAGAGATCAAACTCTCCCAATCACAGCCTGTCAATTCGTTTCTTTGCTCACTCTGGCATATGTTCTGTAGATGTGCTCCATCATCGGAAGAACAATTTTCAGAGGTCTTTTGAACATATGGAACGAGTGGAGCTGACAAGTCAGCCACTTCCGACTCACAACCTGCCTCAGTACCACAACGAGTTGTTGCTCCACACTCAGGGCTACCAGAGTCATATTTCAAATTTCGCGGCAGCTCAATTACAAACTTTGAGAGCTCACTAGATGGCTCAACAGAAGCTTCTCCAATAGAATCCCCTGGAACACAATCCTCATGTAACTCTGCTGAGTTAATACAGAGTTCAGCCGCATCTTCATTCGCAGAGACTTTATTTCCGCTTTCAAGAGAGGACTCGGGTTTTGACGGATCAGAAGGGTTATGCCTGAAAGAAATGGAGTATAATTTACCAACAGAATTAGGTAAGAAAAACAAAGTAAAAAAGAAATACAGCAGTAAATTACCTCCTTAGGAACCTGGATTCCTTGTGAGAGCTGACATGGGGCGAAGTGAAGACGGAAGGGAGGGATGCGAAACTGAGTGAGCTGAACGTCTGAGTAATGTGAACAGACTTCACAGGCTTGATAGGAGAAAGACTATTGATATAGTTAAACACAGGAGAATCCTGCACATGTAATGAAAAATACAAAAAAAAAAAAAAAAAAAAAAAAAAAAAAAACACTTCTTACATGATGAAACGATACATACAGACAGTAATTGGAACATCAACACCTAAAATATAGAAATTATACAAAATTAATATATAATCTCAATTGCACCACCAAAAAGAAAAATAACATTCACAGAATACATAATACATACAAATTGGTATAAATTAAATTAAATTCCATTAACTTCTGAAAACCAGTAAAAAAAGAGGTGGGGGGGGGGGGGGGTTGGAATTGGTAAAAATTAGGTCCACAACAATCCCAAATTGAGTTTTCTGAAGCCAAATGGTGACAATTGACCATGAAACTGAGCTCGATTTGAGATCCAAATCACAAAATTTCGAAACCCACATAAAGCAGACACTTTTTTTTTCCAAAACAAAAGAAAAAAAAATAACATGAGAGAAAAGGATAATAAATAATCTGAAAAGAAATATATTTGAGGACTGATCCAGCTGAAAATCAAAGATCAACCCACATGCAGTGATGCAGGGCAACTGCAACCCATGAAAACAAACAGGAAACTCAAGAAATTCACATGCTTTAGAAACACAGAGGAAACAACCTCAAATACCAAACAAAACCCAATTCAGCAACGACCTTAATAATTCAGAAGAAGAAAAAAACAAGAAAATGGGAACAAAGCCTGACCTCAAATTTGGCCTTGGGGGTGCCGATCTGGTTTCTCTCTGGGGTGTCCATTTCCAGAGAGGCAGCTCCACCGCATGCCACCACTATCTCTCTCTCTCTCTCTCTCTACTCTTTGGAGGTGAATTTGGTCCTCTTCTCTCCGAAGTCCAAGACTGTAAAAAACAAAAAGGAAAGAAATGGCGAGGTGGGTCTCGTGCAATTTGGAAAATAGGTCTAAGAATTTCAAGAAGAGGGAAGGCGGGAGAGTTTGGAAACAAGTCTCGTGGGGATAACTTTGACCCCACCACCCCCACCTCAAAGCCCCACCGCTCAACAGCTGTACGTATATATGTATATATGTTTCTGTAATTTTCTCACCATCACCCACCCGACCCAACGCACCCGGCTTTAAAAAAGGTAACGTACAGTTTACTGCGTCTGGATTTTCTCAATCTCTCTCTCTCTCTCTCTCTTCACTCAGCACCCTTCGCTCTCAGGCTCCAATTCCTCTCTTTTTTGGTCTGGCACTTTGGGTCTTTGGCTTTTTATATTAATAATTTTGCTTTGATTTGCATTCTTTTCACTACTTGACTTTGTAAACTGCAATGCCTGTCCTTTGAGGCATTCGCTATTTTGCCCCTCTTCATCAAAAGAACACTAGTTTTGGCCTCGGGGAATTACCCATTGACAATTACTTTTATCTTCTTACATTTTTTACATGTTAATGCATAGAGAAGTGTCATAGATAAAGTTAATGCATAGAGAAGTATCATCACTTCAATGCCTAATGCATAGAGTGTTCTCCTTAAGGGAATACCCTAATGTACATTACTAGTTTGGTGTAAATTGTATCGTTTTTATAGGGTTAAAATCATCACTTCAATGCCTATTTTAGGATTAAAAGTGTCTATGCATCATCTGACACAGTTAAAATCAATGGATTTAACGTTACAGTCTATGTTTAACTTCTCAAATCTTGTTATTAATTAGCTCGATACATGTCATATCTGACGCAATTTGTTTGAATTGTAGGTCAGCTCTCAGGATTTTAAGAGTCAGAGGTAAATCAGTAAAAATGGGGCCCACACATATTAATTGGGATTTTTAAAGCTTATTTTATGTTTTAAGTTTTTTTATTTTTGGATAAGATGTTTTATTCAAACTAAAAATAGGCAACGATTATAGCGGGCGGGTAACCGCAATTATTTACCCATAACCGTTTATACTCATACCCGCATAACCGTTGGGTAATTGCCTAAACGGACCGTTTATAAATCGTTAACCATATCCATAACCGCATACCCATTTAACCGTAATCGTTTAATATCCGTTTACCCATTTACCCTTTTTAACCCATTTATACCATTACCCCTTTTTCATCCGTCTACATGTTTTTTAACAACTTGAAAAAAAAAAAAAAAAAATTGTCATAATTTTCTCTTTTTTTTTGACAATTAAACACCGTTACAGGTACATTGATCATACATTTCCGTATTTTAGTTTTGTAAGTCCTTATACCATTCCAATAATTGAAATAATAGTTTACGGACAATATTTTTAACTGTTACCAATGAACGTAATATAATATTTGCTAAGTATTTTTGGGGTGCAAAAACTGTTTAGAAGACAGTATTCTTGGGTTATTTAATCCATAATGTAAAGTATTAACATAATATATATAATGAGCTACATTATATTATAATTAGCTATATAAACCATGCACTATATTCAATATCATTCTTCGGTATGGGATATCGAACCGAAACTAGTATCCTGAATCCCTAACTGATATTTTTCAGGACGGAAATTTAAAGACCAATCCCAAACCAAATTTTCAGGAATTCCAAATTTCGGAAATCTCAAAATATTTTCGAAATTTCGAAACAAATCAGGAATCTCAAATTAAAATATGAAATCGAGAATCCCCATTTCCCCACAATCTTTGCTAGAAGTTAGATCTTGAAGGCAGAAGATAAAGCCAGTTAATGATAAAACGATCACAAAAGACTACGAAACATACTTTGGGCTGCTCCATGGGGCTCCCAAAATATCATATATATTTCAAAGGATAAAGACGTGTAAGCAGCTGCAATCTCTACAGCTTTCAACTTTGGAGAACTTCATGCAGCTCTTTAAGTGTTCAGTCTGTTGGTGAGGACAAACTTATACATTGATCTAAGGACGGCTGAGTGGGGGGTTTTATTTGAATTCAATGGTTGAGATTAAATCTCAACCAAATCCGACGGCTGTTACAATTCCAAATATATATATATTTAAAATTAAATAATATATATTTTTTCGATTCGGTTTGGCATTACTGAACAAATGAAAATGTGAGACTGATTCCCGTACTAAAATTTCAGGATCGGTTTGGGATTGGGTATCGAAATTTTAGGGATTTTTGGTTTGGGATTTTTTCGGTTCTGTTTCGGGATTTCTTCGGTTCGGTTTGGAATTTTCGATATTTTTTTTCACCCCTAGAGAATATGGTTTGTGTTAATTTTACATATATAAAATAAATGGGTAAATGGTTACCCATTTATAACCGCGGTTAATACTTATAACCACCCATTTAAATTTCACGGGTAAACGGTTATACCTATAACCATTTATTTATCTAAACGGTTACCCATAACCATAACCGTGAAATTTAAATGGGCGGGTAACCACAATTATCCACAACCGTGAGTATTTTGCTCATCCCTAATTCAAACACAATGATAATACAAAGGATATCCAAACAAAACTAATTCAAAATTCAACGTGAATATAAAAAATGATCGTAAAACTTATTTTATGTTTTAGGTTGAATAACATTTTCCATAAAAACAATTGGGTATTGGGGCAACGTATCTTGTTCAAAAACTTGAGTTGAGGTACTTGTCATTATAATTAAGTATCGACTAAATTAATTAGGTGTCCCAAAACTCAAAAATGGTAAGCTGTTGGTAAACGTTTATAGGGATTATAATTATGGTATATACGTTTACACACACTAAATTAAGTTAATTAACAACAAAATGTAACGCCCTAAAATCTTATGGTGGTTCTAATTTTATGAAAATTAATTGGTAAATAATAAATAAATGCATATATGAAAATCTTGAATCAATACAAAACATTTATAAGGTGAACATAAAATTCCCGTGAATTGCATGAACCAAACTTATTCTTGGTCCCTATTTACGTTTTGTCATCATCTTGCTTGATATTACTTTTTTAGCCCTGTGAAATGACATCGAAGGTATTTTTAGTGTCTACGCTGAAAGGGCTTTTTGGAGAATGTCCAAATTATTAATAATTATTGGCATTTACTCTCCACCATTAGTTTTGGTGCTTGATGTAACGACAGCGAGTTATGCAGCTTTGGCGCGCAACGATTTCAAATGGCTACGTTATTTGCTAGATTGAGGTCCCACCGCTACCTTGTATATTATGAATTTAGTTTAACAATAATTATGCCACCAAACATAATGGAGCATCAACATAGACGTTACGTTTGCCGGCCTTCCACAACAAGGGTTCATCGAATCCTCTATTTCTCACAGCACGAGTATATTATCACCGTGATATTTAGTGTTCTAAAAATTTTTCATATTCTCTCTTTAGAGCAAGTTTTTTTTCACAAACGTGGGGTCATGAATAATGCTACTAGAAATTACATAATATGATAACTTAATCTATTGTTTTGTTGCTCAGACACCTTGTTTGAAGGACGAACTTCAAAATTTACCATTTTCGAAGCCCACTTTGATCGTTGTGACTCAACGCGTACGGTGTGATCAAAGTCCCCATCATAAACTATTACATTAATGTCACACTTGCAAGTAAGGTATCAAAATATATCAAAATGCAGATAGATTAGGCATGAGGCTCGTAATAATTGATAATTCCATGTTCACCTTTGGACTTTATGCGACTTTTACAAAGTTTGGTTTAGGGCATGTGGTCCCATAAAAATTAAAGGCTAGTGTCACGTGATTCTCCCCACAATTTTTGTTTTTAGAAAATCAAAATAAAATAAAAAATAAAAAAGAAGCTTACAATTTGCTCTTTCCCAACTCCCACATTCTCTGAGGGAGGAAGTTCGTGCGAAATCATAGTGTCTACTACATGCGTACTTTGTCACACCACACAAATTCTCCATTTGCATTCTGCAATATAAGGTGTTTTTTTTTAATTATTTTTTTAGAAATTTTAACGAAAAAGCTTCTGGTACTATTCACTTAACGAAAATCATATTTCTATACTAAAAAGTTAATCCTGGTACTATTCACTTTATCCTTTATTTTGTCTTTATCGTTAAAACTCAAAATTTTCAAGTATTTTTCATTAGTTTTCCTTTATTTTTTTGCTTAATTATTGGCGAACACAAGCAAATTAGGAAATTAGTTATTAGTGATTGGATAAGCATGTTAGTAGGTACAGTTGTGATTAATTATTTGAAGTTTGATGACTGGTTGTGATTTAGATCTGAGTAAAGTCTTGTGATTTAGTGAGTGTCAGATTGCGGGTTACTAGAATAAAGCATTGGGTTGACCCAAATACTTAGGATTTTATTTAACTGAGATTAAGATGCTCTTGTAATCCGCAAGGGACCAAAATAAAATTCAGAAGGACAAAAAGTAATGAATCTAATGATTCAGGCAAATGTTTGTGGAAATGTGTCAGTCAAAACCTGCTTTGTTTTTCTCTACGTTATTTTGCACTAGGAAGTTTCTCTTGTTACAAACATGTACTACCATTTGGCTCTTTACTTTTTTCAATCATAAATTAAAATACTAGGGTAAAATCAGTATTTTGTTTTTATTTTTTGTGGGTAGGTTAATGTGGGGTGAATGTGTATGTTATCCTACCATATCAATAGGCTGTGGTCATCCTTTTCCCACTATTTTTAGCTCTAAGTGTAAATGGATTTGATTTTACCTTTGCGAAACACACAAAGTACATGCCCATACACTGATAGGGATGGGCAATAGTTATGGCAGATAGGTAACCACGATTATTTACTATAATTGTTTAAGTTTTTATGAGCATAACCGTTTACCCATTAAGTAATTACATAAACAACATAATCATTTAAGTGTAAATGTAACAATGATCATTTCCATTGATCACTTGCTTCTTTGCGCTACAACTTTTGTTTAGCTCAAATTACCATTTCATACAGTTACGTACGCCTTTGTGTAACCATGCATTGATCAATGGGTATGTTAATGTGGGGTGAATGTGTATGTTATCCTACCATGTCAATGGGCTGTGGTCATGCATTTCCCACTTAAGAGCATCTCAAACCACGACTTGGAGACCTCATTTAGGAACTTTAAGAGAATATTCGGGTTCTAAAGAAATATTGTCTGCAATAGGAGATCTGTATATGATAATC